GTGATGTTGGGTGAAAGGGCAGGACCTCGGGATGATGAAAAGGTGGGTAGGATTAGCCTGGTTAATTGGCCTCCAATTAAGGAAGAGGCACTGGCTTCCAGTATGGTTCCCCGAATTGGCCTCTGGTCCTCGCCATAATGGTCTGCGACCAGGAGGAAGGTCTGGGCCCCGGACGGAGGTCTGGGTCCTGGCAGGGCCTTTCGGTCCAGGGGGGACGTCTGGGCCCCTGGGGCTCTCTGGCACCTCACCTGGACTCTGGGTTATGGAAATGGTGGTCTGGGTTATACATTGAGAAGTTCACCCAGGATACAGGGCTGGGATCTGTGTTTGAGGCCTGGGCCCAGGGACAATCTTTTTGGCCCCGCCCTGACAGTCTGGGTCCCGGATCAGGTGTGAGCCCCAGGTGGAGGTCTGCCATCCTGAGGACGCGGACGAGGACGCGGACGAGGACGAGCAGGAGGGCGGCTGTGTCCCGGGAGGGAGGATGTGTCCCGGGAGGGATCGCGAGGTGGCAGGCTGAGATCCCGGGAGGAGCCGCGCTGCCCCAGCCCGCCGGGCAGCAGGGACGGGGAAGGCAGCACCGTCGGCTCCCGGGTGGACGGACGGGCCCCGGCTGTGCGGCTGCCGGCCGAGGGCCTCCCGGGAGCGGACGGAGGCCCTTCCAGCCGGGCCCTCGTGGGAGGCCGGCCGGCCGGCAGTGAGAGCCGTGGGCCAGGCCGCCTCGCCTGATTCACACGGTGCCTCAGCCCTGCCGGCCCCTCACTGGCTCCGGCCACGCCAGGTGGGAGGGGCAGGGCCGGATTCCCACCTGGGGGTGGGTCTCCCCGTGTTCCTCTGCTGCCTCCACATGTGATGCCTGTGATGTCACAGGAAGCCAGCGTTCTCCCGTGTCACCAGTAGGTGGCAGTGTCGTCCCGCAGAGCCGTCTGCGCAGCTGAAGGGCTGTTCCCGCCCTGAACTCAGAGGCTGCTCTAGGCCCCCCGACGCCCTTTCCCTGTGTCCGCCGGGAGCAGAGGCTGGGGGGGGGGGGGGAGTTTAATGTCTCAGGGACACCGAGGCCCTCTGCGCCCGCCCAGGACGCGGTGCGGTGCCCTGCCACGCTGGTCACTGTCCTCAGACGTGGTGTGGTGCGTGGTCAGACACGGCGTCTCTGATTCCCGCAGGAGACTCCGCGGAGGAGGTGGACCTGAGCCTGGTGCACCAGGCGGCGTCCGGCGGCGACGTCCGCGCGCTGACCGCCCTGATCCGGGAGGACCCCGCCGTGCTGGAGAGCCGCGACACGGAAGGTGACGCCCCACGCCCAGCCCTGCCCGCCTCAGCCCCACACGGGCACTGTGGGGCGGGGGGCACGGGCGGGGGCAGCTCCCGGCGAGGGCACAGCCGGCAGGCTGAGGCGTGGCGTCTCCCCAGGCTGCACGCCCCTGATGCACGCGGTGTCGGGACGGCAGGTGGACACGGCCAAGCTGCTGCTGAAGATGGGCGCCAACGTCAATGCCCAGGACGCCGAGGGCCGCACCAGCCTGTGCCTGGCCGCCTACCTGGTGAGCGAGCGCCTGCGCCTGCCATGTGCCTGTGCCTGCGCCCTACCCGGTGAGGCCGTGTCCGGTGAGGCCGTGTCCCGGTGAGGATGTGACCTGGTGAAGCCGTGTCCCGATGAGGCTGTGTCCGGTGAGGTCGTGTCCGGTGAGGATGTGTCCCTGTGAGGATGTGTCCCGGTGAGGCCGTGTCCGGTGAGGCCGTGTCCGGTGAGGATGTGTCCGGTGAGGCCGTGTCCGGTGAGGCCGTGTCCGGTGAGGATGTGTCCCTGTGAGGATGTGTCCCGGTGAGGATGTGTCCCGGTGAGGCCGTGTCCGGTGAGGCCGTGTCCGGTGAGAATGTGTCCCGGTGAGGCCGTGTCCGGTGAGGCCGTGTCTGGTGAGGCCGTGTCCGGTGAGGATGTGTCCCGGTGAGGCCGTGTCCGGTGAGGATGTGTACCGGTGAGGCCGTGTCCGGTGAGGCCGTGTCCGGTGAGGATGTGTCCCTGTGAGGATGTGTCCCGGTGAGGCCGTGTCCGGTGAGGCCGTGTCCCGGTGAGGATGTGACCTGGTGAAGCCGTGTCCCGATGAGGCCGTGTCCGGTGAGACCGTGTCCCGGTGAGGCTGTGACCTGGTGAAGCCGTGTCCGGTGAGGCCGTGTCCGGTGAGGATGTGTCCGGTGAGGATGTGTCCCAGTGAGGATGTGTCCGGTGAGGATGTGTCCGGTGAGGCCGTGTCCCGGTGAGGATGTGACCTGGTGAAGCCGTGTCCCGATGAGGCCGTGTCCGGTGAGACCGTGTCCCGGTGAGGCTGTGACCTGGTGAAGCCGTGTCCGGTGAGGCCGTGTCCGGTGAGGATGTGTCCGGTGAGGATGTGTCCCAGTGAGGATGTGTCCGGTGAGGATGTGTCCGGTGAGGATGTGTCCGGTGAGGCCGTGTCCGGTGAGGATGTGTCCGGTGAGGCCGTGTCCGGTGAGGATGTGTCCGGTGAGGATGTGTCCGGTGAGGCCGTGTCCGGTGAGGCTGTGTCCGGTGAGGCCGTGTCCGGTGAGGATGTGTCCGGAGAGGATGTGTCCGGTGAGGCCGTGTCCGGTGGGGATGTGTCCGGTGAGGATGTGTCCGGTGAGGCCGTTTCCGGTGAGGCCGTGTCCGGTGAGGCCGTGTCCGGTGAGGATGTGTCCGGTGAGGCCGTGTCCGGTGAGGCCGTGTCCGGTGAGAATGTGTCCCGGTGAGGCCGTGTCCGGTGAGGCCGTGTCCGGTGAGGCCGTGTCCGGTGGGGATGTGTCCGGTGGGGATGTGTCCGGTGAGGATGTGTCCGGTGAGGCCGTGTCCGGTGAGGATGTGTCCGGTGAGGATGTGTCCCGGTGAGGCCGTGTCCGGTGAGGCCGTGTCCGGTGAGGCCGTGTCCGGTGAGAATGTGTCCCGGTGAGGCCGTGTCCGGTGAGGCCGTGTCCGGTGAGGCCGTGTCCGGTGAGGATGTGTCCGGTGAGGCCGTGTCCGGTGAGGCCGTGTCCGGTGAGGCCGTGTCCGGTGAGGATGTGTCCGGTGAGGATGTGTCCGGTGAGGCCGTGTCCGGTGAGGCCGTGTCCGGTGAGGATGTGTCCGGTGAGGATGTGTCCGGTGAGGATGTGTCCGGTGAGGATGTGTCCGGTGAGGCCGTGTCCGGTGGGGATGTGTCCGGTGAGGATGTGTCCGGTGAGGCCGTGTCCGGTGAGGCCGTGTCCGGTGAGGATGTGTCCCGGTGAGGATGTGTCCGGTGAGGATGTGTCCGGTGAGGCCGTGTCCGGTGAGGCCGTGTCCGGAGAGGATGTGTCCGGTGAGGCCGTGTCCCGGACACCGAGTGGTGCTGAGAGCGTGCGGCCATGGGGGCCCTCGCCGGGTGCTTGCGGTGCAGGCAGCTGGCACATCCCCCCGACACTGACAGGAGAGTCTGGAGACCAGTCTCCATCAGACGGGGTGCAGGTCCCGAACTCGAGGTCCCCACAGACTGCAGCTCTGCCCGGTCTGACCCCGAGGCCAGGAGGACGTGGTGGGCCGTGGGGGGGACCAGGGGGAGCAGCGCGCAGCCCGCGGGCGGGCGGAGGGTGACGGCGCTCTCTGACCCCGAGGCCAGGAGGAGGTGGGGGCCGGGGGGCCGGGGCGGGGGGTAGGAGGGATGGGGGGCCAGGGCGGGGTACTGGGCGCGGCCCGCGGGCGGGCGGAGGGTGACGGCGCTCTCTGACCCCGAGGCCAGGAGGACGTGGTGGGCCGGGGGCCAGGGCAGGGGTATGGGGATGGCCCGCGGGCGGGCGGAGGGGTGACCCCGAGGCCAGGAGGACGTGGTGGGCCGGGGGGGGGGGCGGCAGGGGGAGCAGCGCGCAGCCCGCGGGCGGGCGGAGGGTGACGGCGCTCTCTGCAGGGCTGGCTGGAGGGCTGTGTGTGTCTGCTCCGTAACGGCGCCAAGCACGGCATCGCAGACCGGAACGGCCGCCTGCCCCTGCACGCCGCCACCGCCGAGCCCGACGTGAGGTGGGTCCGGGCGGCTCTGGGGGCGGGGAGGGCCCGGTCACAGGCTACCCACCGCCGCCCCGCCCCCTGGTCCTCTCTGTGGGAGCCGTCGGGCCCCTTAGCAAAGGAGCGTCCTGGGGCTCGTAGACGGAGGCCAGGCCCTCCCTGCGGCCTCACCGGAGAAACAACGCCATGCGCCGTCCCTGAGCCTCACGCCCCTGCACTCAGCCCCTGACGGCTCACGCCGGCCCGGGAGGCTGTCAGAGCAGCTCCGTCCCAGCCACAGCCCCGCCAGGACGGAGCCACGGGTCGCGGGCTCACGTGGTGCGGCTCACGTGGTGCGGCTCACGTGGTGCGGCTCACGTGGTGCGGCTCACGTGGTGTGGCCACTGAGGGCGGAGACGATGCTGAGGAGAGAGCCGGGCGGTGCTGGAGGGGGAAGAGCGTCTGAGCCAGAGCCGGGCAGCGCTGTCGGTGGGCAGAGGCGGAGGACCAGGAGGCTGAGGGCCGGGAGCGGGGTGGCTGGGCAGGGACTGCTGGGACCTCAGGCTGGTGGGCGTCATGGAGGTCCTCCCTGGAGACACTGAGCCGCAAAGGGGGCCTGCCAGGCCACGTGCTCCCCAGTCCTCTCCCATGTCTCAGCCTCGTCCCCCCACCCCCCGTTTTCTCCCATGCCCGCCCCCCTCTCCTGGGAGCCCCCCGGAGCCGCAGATACGACATTTCCTACCCTGGCCTCGCAGCGCCCGGCCCCCACGCTGCATCTTTCCGGAAACTTCTCCCTCAGCGCGTGGGCCCTGCGCAGTCCGCCTCCGAGGCTCGCAGGCTCTGCCCCCTGAGCTGCCCGCCCCCCCCCCCCCCCCCGCAGGCTGCTGACGGTGCTGGTGCAGCAGTGCGGCCTCAGCGAGGTCAACCACCAGGACGGCGAGGTGAGCGGGGCGGGTGTGTGTGTGTCTGTGTTCCCGCCCGGAGCCCCAGCTGGGAGGCCCATGGGGGGCCGTCGTGTGCAGCGCCAGCGTCGGCGCTGGGGTGCCGGTGCCCTGGACGCCGGAGGGAAGGCGGGGGCTGGGGCCCTGCGGGGGCAGATGGCTGGGGTCCCCCGCTCCCGCCCCAGGGCCCCGCATCCTCGCCCCCAAGGCCGCACGCCATCGCCTGTCCCCGCACACGCCCTCCGGCCTGCAGGAGGCCAGCTCCCGGGAGCCCCAGCATGCAGGCTCCTGCAGCCACACCTCTTCCCAGAGGCAGGGCGGCCGTCCCCCCGCCGGCTCCCGCGGGCCCTGAGCCGAGCCCTCGCCGGCTCCCCGGGCCGCACGTCACCACGGCCGTGATGACTGAGCACACAGAGCGACAGCTCCTGCTCCCAGAGCCAGCTGCCAGGCGGGAGGACGGAGCCCGAGCGGGCAGGCTGGCCTCAGACCAGGGCCCCAGCCTCCACCCCGAGCCTCCAGCCCGGCCCTGGGCCTCCTCCAGGCCTGACATGAGCAGCCGCCCAGAAATCGCCCAGGCTGAGGTCGGCGCCTCCGGCTCCGAGGTCACAGCTGCTTTCACTGCCGTGTCTCTGCGGTTAGCGGGCCCCAGGGAGCGAGGGCCACCGCTCACTTCTGCTTTCCGACGAAGCAGGACGAGCACGCAGGCCCCCCCCCCCCCCTTCGCACGGCCCCTCGGCTCGGCCCCCGGCACGGCCCTCGGCACAGCCCCTCGGCACAGCCCTCGGCACAGCAGATGGGAGGACGTGGGGGAGCATCCATATCGGCTGGGGGTGCACCAGCCCCTCCTCCCCTCCAGCTCCTCTCTGCTGCTCTGCTCCGTGTGAGCGCCCCAGGGGCTGTGGGGCTTCCTCCGGGAGCCCCAGGCGGTGGGGCCTGAGTGTCTGTGTCCCCCCACCCCGCTCTGCTCACCCGCTCTCGTCCCAGGGGATGACCCCCCTGCACTGGGCGGCCTTCCACAACCAGCCCCAGCACGCTCAGGTGCTGCTGCGGAGCGGGGCCGACCCCACGCTGGTGGACAAAGACTTCCAGACGGCGCTGCACTGGGCCGTGCAGGTAGCCCTGAGGCCCAGGGGAGACCCACAGGGAGACCCACAGGGAGGGGAGACCCACAGGGGGGAGACCCACAGGGAGACCCACAGGGAGGGGAAACCCACAGGGAGGGGAGACCCACAGGGAGACCCACAGGAGGGGAGATCCACAGGGAGACCCACAGGGAGGGGAGACCCACAGGGAGACCCACAGGGAGGGGAGACCCACAGGGGGGAGACCCACAGGGAGACCCACAGGGGGGAGACCCACAGGGAGGGGAGACCCACAGGGTGGAGACCCACAGGGGGGAGACCCACAGGGAGACCCACAGGGAGACCCACAGGAGGGGCAGGAGAAACGGGGCTGCGGGGAGAGAACAGACGTGGCCTCTCCCCAGAGCGGGAACCGGCTGCTGTGCTCCGTCATCCTGAGCCACCACCAGGGCCCGTCCATCATCAACTGCGACGACGAGAGCGGGAAGACCTGCGTGCACATGGCCGCGGCCGCCGGCTTCAGCGACATCCTGGCCGAGCTGGCCCGCGTGCCCCAGTGCAACCTGCAGGCCCTGGACGTGGACGACAGGTACGGAGGGCTGAGGGAGCCCACAGGGCCCGCCGGCTCTCCTGTGGCCACAGCCACACGTGTGCTGCCCTCTCCTGCTGGCCACAGCTACACGTGTGCTGTCCTCTCCTGCTGGCCACGGCCACACGTGTGCTGTCCTCTCCTGCTGGCCACGGCCACACGTGTGCTGCCCTCTCCTGCTGGCCATGGCCACACGTGTGCTGTCCTCTCCTGCTGGCCACGGCCACACGTGTGCTGTCCTCTCCTGCTGCCACAGCTACACGTGTGCTGTCCTCTCCTGCTGGCCACGGCCACACGTGTGCTGCCCTCTCCTGCTGCCACAGCTACACGTGTGCTGTCCTCTCCTGCTGGCCACGGCCACATGTGTGCTGCCCTCTCCTGCTGCCACAGCTACACGTGTGCTGTCCTCTCCTGCTGGCCACGGCCACATGTGTGCTGCCCTCTCCTGCCGGCCATGGCCACACGTGTGCTGGGCTCCTCTCCTGCCGGCCATGGTCACATGTGTCCTGCTGGCCACAGTCACACGTGGCAGGAAGGGCGTGTGGAGGGACACGGAGGGCTGTAACGTGTCCCCGTGTGCTGGGCGCCCTCCGTGTCCCGGAGGCGTTGTCTGTCAGCTCCTGCCCGGGAGGCGTTCCTGCCGGGAGCTTCCACCTGGTTGTCCTCAGGGCAGAGGGTGCACCCGGACCGGGCCTGTTTCCCCCGGCACCCGTGCCTCCCCAGCCGGGGTGAGGCAGGCGGCGCGGCCCGTCCGCCCACCGCCCACCGCCCACCGCCCACCGCCCACCGCCCACCGCCCACCGCCCACCGCGCACCGCCCACCGCGCACCGCCCACCGCCCACCGCGCACCGCGCACCGCCCACCGCGCACCGCCCACCGCCCACCGCGCACCGCGCACCGCGCACCGCCCACCGCCCACCGCCCACCGCCCACCGCGCACCGCGCACCGCGCACCGCCCACCGCCCACCGCGCACCGCCCACCGCCCACCGCCCACCGCGCACCGCGCACCGCCCACCGCCCACCGCCCACCGCGCACCGCCCACCGCCCACCGCGCACCGCGCACCGCCCACCGCGCACCGCCACCGCCCACCGCCCACCGCGCACCGCGCACCGCCCACCGCGCACCGCCCACCGCCCACCGCCCACCGCGCACCGCGCACCGCCCACCGCGCACCGCGCACCGCCCACCGCCCACCGCCCACCGCGCACCGCCCACCGCGCACCGCGCACCGCCCACCGCCCACCGCCCACCGCGCACCGCGCACCGCCCACCGCGCACCGCCCACCGCCCACCGCGCACCGCGCACCGCCCACCGCCCACCGCGCACCGCGCACCGCCCACCGCGCACCGCCCACCGCGCACCGCCCACCGCCCACCGCCCACCGCGCACCGCCCACCGCGCACCGCCCACCGCCCACCGCGCACCGCGCACCGCGCACCGCCCACCGCCCACCGCGCACCGCGCACCGCGCACCGCGCACCGCCCACCGCGCACCGCCCACCGCGCACCGCGCACCGCGCACCGCGCACCGCCCACCGCCCACCGCGCACCGCCCACCGCCCCACCGCGCACCGCCCACCGCCCACCGCGCACCGCGCACCGCCCACCGCGCACCGCCCACCGCCCACCGCCCACCGCCCACCGCGCACCGCCCACCGCGCACCGCCCACCGCCCACCGCCCACCGCGCACCGCCCACCGCCCACCGCTCACCACCCGCCCCGTGTCCCTCCCCGCCCAGGACCCCCCTGCACTGGGCGGCGGCGGCCGGGCAGGCGGAGTGCGTGCGCGCGCTGCTGGACCTGGGCGTGGACAGCAGCCTGCGGGATGCCCACGAGAGCGCGGCCCTGGCCTACGCCCTGCGCTGCGGCCACGCGGCCTGCGTGCGGCTGCTGGCCCGCGGCGGGCCCAGGTAAGCGGCCCTCCCCCTCCTGACATCCGGAAGGTTCCGTGTGGACGCTCACACGGGACAGCGTTTTCAGAAGCCGTGCTTGTTGGTTTCGGCCGGGAGCTGTGGGGAACCCTGTCCTGTCCGGAAGCGGCCGTCACGGTTCCCAGAGCCGCGTTTGGAGGAAGCCGGCCTTGGTGGCTGGCGGCGGTGGGGTCCCAGGCGCGTCTGGCCCAGCCCCCGGGCCTCCCCGCAGGGCCGCGGCGGGCTCGCCCTGAGCTCTTCCTGTTGGGTCAGAAAGGCCACGCAGGGTGGCTGTGTGGCGAGTCCCCGGCCCCGGGCACGGCGAGGTCAGGGCGATCCTGGCCGAGCAGGCCCCTCGGGGCGACGTCGTGGTGTGCGCCACGGGCCACGTTTCAGACGCCAGCTCCCAGGCGCAGAGCAGCCGGTGAGGGGGACAGTCCCTTCTCCATCCCATTCTAAAAATATGTTTTACCGATGTCAGAGAGGAAGGGAGAGGGAGAGAGAAACATCTGTGATGAGAGAGAGTCATTGATCTGCTGCTGCTACATGCCCCCCACTGGGGATCAGGCCCACCACCTGGGCCTGTGCCCTGACGGGAATCGAACCCTGACCTCCTGGGTCCTAGGTCAATGCTCAGCCATGGAGCTGTGCCAGCCGGGCTCCGGACACCGGTATGAACATCACTTTAACCCCATGCCTCCCCCTGAGGACTGTCAGGACGCCTCCCTCGGGCTCGGGCTGCACCTGGAGACCAGGGCCTCCGTCCGTGCTGGGCAGCAGGCGGCGCCGGTGAGACAGGCTGACGCGGCCGTCAGCTCAGGGACGTGCTCCGCTGAAGGAACCTGAGAACGTTCTCGCAGCCCCCGGTTCCTGGGCCTGCCAGGCGCCCGGAAGTAGTATTCAGCTTTTCCAAAAGCCTCGCCGAAGGTGAAGGAAGGAAGACGAAACGCATGCAGGGGACAGAGGCTCCAGTACGTGCTGTGCGAGCTGCAAAGCACGGGCTGCCCGCAGCCAGAGCCCAGTCACAGCGTCTCACTGGAGAGTCCGCTGAGTCCTGGCTGGTGCGGCCCAGTGGGGAGAGTGTCAGCCTGCAGACCGGAGGGTCCTGGGTTTGATTCTGGTCAAGGGCACATGCCTGGTTATGGGGCTTGGTCCCTAATAGGGGCGTGCAGGAGGCAGCCGATCCATGATTCTCTCTCATCATTGATGTTTCTCTTTCCCTCCCTCTTCCCTCTGAAATCAATAGAAATATACAGAGTGGCCAGATGATGATGGTCTCTGAACTCAATCATCTGGCCACTCAGTGTGTATCCTATAGAATAAAAGGCTAGTATGCAAATTGTCCCCTCAACCAGGAGTTTGACCAGCAGGCAGGCCGGCCGACCGCCCATGTCCCCTGCCCCTGGCCAGGCTGGCCAGACCCCACCCATGCACGAGTTCATGCACCGGGCCTCTAACACACACGCACACACACACACACACACACACACACACGCACACGCGCACACACACACGCACGCACACGCGCGCACACACACACGCACACACGCTCAGAGACCATCATCCCCTGGCCTCAGTGTATTGTTTAGAAAGAGGCTGCAGTCTGGCTCCGGCCGTGCGGGCCAGGCTGTGCTGTGCACAGGAAGCAGCGCTCGGCTGTGGCCGCCGCACAGAAGAACCGAACTGTCCGAGGCCACAAAAGCAGAACCGGGGCGGGAAGCACCGAAGGGCGGCCTGCCTCCCCTCCCCTCCCTGGGCCGGCCGCGTGCCTGGCCTCACTTTCCCCACGCCCTCGCGGCTTCAGGCTTCCCCTCTGCGCCACGCCTTCCCCGTGTCCCCCGTGCACGTGTGAAAGAGCGTTCCCAGCGGGAAGTTAGTAGAGCTGGGCGGGAAGCAGACACACGCACACGCGGCCACTGGCAGCCACCGGGGCCAACAGTGCAGGCTCTGTCCCCTCCGGGCCCCTCACACCGGGGACCACAGCCCCTCGGCCCCGCCCGCCCGCCCGCCCATGGGACAGGTCCCGGGAGCTCGCCTGGCCTGCAGCTCCGACAGGAGCCTGCACTCGCCAATGTCCACCCGCCCCAGAGGGGAGCAGGGCGCTGGGGGCGGAGGCAGCTCCGGGGGCGAGAGGCTGTCACTAAGACGCGTCTGACGGAGGTCGGACGCCCCAGGACACACGTGTGTGGGACAGCGTGTTCCCGTTCTCCCCCACACAGATGCCAAGGGCCCCTGGCACTGCGCTCACCCCAAAATCGGCTTCCCATCGGCACCGCTCTGACGCGTTCGCACCAGGCGGTTTGCCGTGTGGCTGCTGCCGTGTGTTCTCTGACAGCCTAGCCCCGTGGTCGGCAAACCGCCGCTTGGGAGCCACAGGCGGCTTTTTGGCCCCTTGCATGTGGCTCTTCCACAAAAGACCACGGCCTGGGCGAGTCTATGTTGAAGAAACGGCGTTAGAAGAAGTTTAAGTTTAAAAATTGTGGCTCTCAGAAGACATTTCGTTCGTTGAACTGTTGGTATTTGGCTCTGTGGACGAGTGAGTTTGCCGACCACGGGCCTGGGGAGCCAAGGCCCGTGCGCCTGGCGGCAGGCCTGGCTGCTGAGCGTTCCCGGGCCCCCGTGGGAACCGCCGCCCAGAGGTGGGGGGCGGGGCTCTGGCGGGCCCGAGGCCCGGGGCGACCCCCAGGCAGGCAGGCAGGCTGGACGGGGCGGGGAGGTCCCCCTGCCCTCCTGACCGCCGTCTCCCTGTCCTCGCACAGAGTGGAGCCGGCCCGGGCCCTGCCAGCCCCGAGCGGCCGTTCCCCGGGGAAGGAGGGCCGAGGCCGCGCGCTCCGCCAGATCTGGGGCGGCGGCCGGAAGGGGCAGCGGCGGGCGGCGCCCGAGGACGCCGGGGAGCTCACCTCCGGCGTGGACGACATCATCGCCACCTTCGAGGGCGCCGCGGAGGCCCGCCGCCCGGAGCAGGGGCCCAGGGGGGACGCCAGCCCGAGGGGCTCCGGGGGCCGCCCGCACCCCCTGCCCCAGCAGAGGCCGCCCGCCCGGCAGGAGCTCCCGCCTCTCCGGGCCCAGAGCCTCCCGCCCATCGCCTGCCTGCGGACGGCTGCCCCCGGGGGCGCCCCCCACGCTGGCCCCAGGCCCCGGCAGAGCGGCAGCAAGCAGGACCCGCTGAGCCACAGGCCCGGCGGCCTCGCACCGCCCTGTCCCTGGAGGGGCGACGCGGGCCAGGGGCTCCCCAGGGTGTGGCCGGGGCCGCCTGCCGAGAAGCTGCTGGACCGGCTGCTCCCCGGCAGGTCCCGGCTGCAGGACATCCTGGGGCCTCCACACCGGCCGCACCTGCCTCCGCCCTCAGCAGGTGGGTCCGGCCCTCTTCCCGGTCCTGCAGCGGGACCTGGCCCAGGATCTGTCTCGGGTGACGCAGCTGGGAGGGCGGGGCCAGAGCCACAGGGCCACGAGTCACCGTCCTTCCTGAGGCCCCGGGTTCGAGGTGTTCAGGCCGCAGGATGTCCTGCTTCCCCCCTCCCCTCCCCCCGGAGCAAGTTTAAGTGAAAGCAGCGTCTCCTCTTCCCACAGCCCTGGTACCTGCGAGGACTTGTAGCTGCAGGCTGGGGACATTCCCTGAGGCTTGATTTGTGTGACTGTTCTCTTTCTTTTTCTTTTTCTAAATATATTTTATTGACTTTTTTACGGAGAGGAAGAGACTGGGGTAGAGAGCTAGATACATCAATGAGAGAGAAACATCGACCAGCTGCTCCCTGCACCCCCCCACCCCACTGGGGACGTGCCCACAACCAAGGCACATGCCCTTGACGGGAATCAAACCTGGGACCCTTCAGTCCGCAGACCAACGCTCTATCCACTCTTTTGTTTTTTATTTCAGAGAGGAAGGGAAAGGGAGAGAGATAGAAACATCAGTTATGAGAATCATGGATCGGCTGCCTCCTGCTCGCCCCCTACTGGGGATCAAAACCACAACCAGGGCCTGTGCCCTGACCAGGAATCAAACCATGACCTCCTGACCTCCTGGTTCCTAGGTCGACACTCCACCACGGAGCCGCGGGGACCAGGCTGGGTGACTTTTCAGATCAGATGGCCCGTCCCCATTGCAGATCTGAGTGTGGCCACGCCTGCTGTGTTCACTGCAGAAGGGAATGCGGTCTCACTCCTATGGTTCAAGGCCCCACACGTCAGCGACAGGCCACCCCTCCCACCCGCCTCTTCCCTCTTCCCGTGACTCAGTGCCCTCGTCCTCAACATCATCCCTGTCGTTCCTTTCTGTTCTGACCCTCAGAGCATTTCCCGGGAGGAAGGAAGTGGGGGGCGGGGCGAGGAGGATGTCCCCAGCTGACTCAGCTCCCACACACTCATCTTCCATCAAGTCCTGCACATCCGCTATGTCTCAATAGTCAGGCAGCCACCTAGCTGCCGGGGAGGCTGGGAATTGTAGTCACGTGGTCACACCTAGCTGCCAGGGAGGCTGGGAATTGTAGTCACGTGGTCACACCTAGCTGCCAGGGAGGCTGGGAATTGTAGTCACGTGGTCACACCTAGCTGCCAGGGAGGCTGGGAATTGTAGTCACGTGGTCACACCTAGCTGCCGGGGAGGCTGGGAATTGTAGTCACGTGGTCACACCTAGCTGCCAGGGAGGCTGGGAATTGTAGTCACGTGGTCACACCTAGCTGCCAGGGAGGCTGGGAATTGTAGTCACGTGGTCACACCTAGCTGCCAGGGAGGCTGGGAATTGTAGTCACGTGGTCACACCTAGCTGCCAGGGAGGCAGGGAATGGTCGTCTTTAGACGGTCATGTGACTCTCCGTCCAAAATTGGATTTTTAAAAAATATATTTTATTGATTTTTTTATAGAGAGGAAGGGAGAGGGATAGAGAGTCAGAAACATCGATGAGAGAGAAACATCGACCCGTTGCCTCCTGCACACCCCTCACTGGGGATGTGCCCACAAACAAAGTACATGCCCTTGACGGGATCAAACCTGGGACCTTTCAGTCCACAGGCCGATGCTCTATCCACTGAGCCACACCGGCCAGGGAGGCTCAGAGCCTCCGGCCTTTACGATGCCAGTAGCCTCCTGGGCCCGATGGCCTGTCTCCTCCAGGCCCTCCCGGCCCTGCCTCCTCCTCCCTCTACTCAGGAGCTCCCACTGCACAGCAGACCTGGGAGAATTTCTCTCTGAGTTTTCACGATTATCTCCTCCCTTCACTCGCTTCCTCCCTGAGAGCGGGCAACCCCTCCTGCCTCCTCCTTATGGGACCGAGTTCTGACCCTTCCCTCCCACCACGAGCCCTCCCCAGGCCTGTCTTCCAAGCAAGCTGCCCCACCCCGTCCTGCCCTCCCCGCCCGCCTGGCTCGCAGGGTCAGTGACCTGCCCCCCCCCCCCGCCCTCTCACTCTCCCCAGCGGCTCTGTCCCTTCCCCGGGGGACCTCGGGCACTGTGAGGACGCCAAGGCCGGTCTGTGGGGATGATGATGACCACAGCGGCGGCCTCCCAGGGGAGGAGAGGAAGGGGAGGGAGCTGTCGGGGTGACAGGAGATCACGCCCAGCACAGAGCCCACTTTCTGGCCAGTCAGGGCTGCGTTCACGGGGTCCAGAATCGCCTTTATCCCGGGTCTTGGTTGCAAACTTCTGCTCAGATGTTCGAGATGAAGGAGCCGCTGGGGTTTGAGGGATCCACTCGGGACGGTTTCGCTGTTTGTTTTTCTTGTTGGTCGAACCCGGCTTTGCAGCTGCTTGTCCTTCTGGGGGCTCAGGAACAAAGAGGCGGGCAGACGCCCCCGGCCAGGGCGCCGGACACAGTCCCTGGGCGCATGCCCCGCCTTCTACGTCCGTCCTCTCCCGTGGTGGCCGGCCGCCGGCTCACAGAATTCACTTACACCTGTTCACTCCCAGAGTGACCTGACAGCTTTCCTTCCATTCAGTGACGGGCACACGGCAGAAACTCAGTCACGTGCGGCTGTTGTTGTTGTTATTATTATTATTATTATTATTATTATTGTGTTGTTGTTGTGTTGTTAGCATCTTACCCTGAGGCCTCTAACGGTGCTGATGGCTCTCTTGCAGCTGCTTCTAGCTGGCATCGGTGAGTCTAAGTGACGGATGTGACTCTGTTTGTCCCCAGGACCAGGTTTCCCGCATCTCTCCCCAAACAGACCCAGGACCAGGGGCCCGCCCTTCGCCCGGACCAGCCTGGCCCCCCTGGCCGACCAGAAGTGTGAGTGGCCCACCCCTTGTCCCCCGCACCCTGTCCCCCGCCCCCCACCTCCTGCCCCCACTCCCCGCTCTCCGGCCCCCAGCCCCTGCCTCCTGCCTCCCGCCCCCTATCCCCCAACCCCCTATAACCCCCAACCTCCTGCTCCCTCCCCTGCCCCCGCCAGTGCCGCCACGTCTCCTCTCGCCGCCAGTTCTGTCCGGAGAGTCCCTGTGGACCAGCCGCGTGCTCCCCGCCATCCCCAGCCAGCGGGGCCCCGGGGCCGCGGAGGAGGGCAGGAGCGCTGAGCGGGCCACTCGGTCCGAGGGCAGAGACTGACTCCGCGAACCAGGCCCGGGAGCCACTCTCCGCTCCATAACCGGACGTCCTCGTTCCAGCAGAGCGTCTCCGGGGAGGCGGGGAGCCGGCCGCGTCCGAGGGCGTCCGTGGCGCCACGCATGCTCTCCGGCCTCGGCTGCTGTGCTTCTGCCCAGCGGCTGCAGGCCCACGGCTGTGACTTAGAGCTCGGGCTCACACTGTCCCCTGCCGGCGTGTCTGCGTGCTGCTGGGACTGATTGGAAGTTCACAGCTCAGCCACACAAGATCACAGTCACTCCGTGTCATTATATTTTTAAATATGTTTTTATTGATCTCAGAGAGGAAGGGAGAGAGAGAATATCACCATGGATTGGCTGTCTCCTGCAGGCCCCGCACTGGGGGTCAAGTCTGCAAGCCGGGGTGTGTCCTGATGGGAATGGAACCGTGGCCTCCTGGTTCCTGGGTCCACGCTCAGCCACGGAGCCACGCCGGCCTGGCTCGGGGGAAAGACTCCAGTGGCAACTGCACAAGTCAGACAGGCACCGTCCACCCCAGTGCCGACGCGCTCAGACCCCGCTGTCTGCACCAGACACGCCGCGTCCTGCTGGTTTGTGAGCCGTGTGGGCACGGAGCCCGGGACGGCTCTCCCGGGCACGCTGGCCGCTGCGTCCCCAGCGAGCGGGGCGGCGAGGGCCGGCTGTGCCAGAAGGCGTAAGGCCAGCCCAGGAGGCACGTCCGGACCACGGTCGGGCGAACCCATCGGGCCTGAGGAACGGCCTGCAGCCCGCCCGGCCAGGCCCCACCTCCCGGTCGGCGGGCGGAGTGCTGGGCCTCGGAGCCCGCCAGGCACGGAAGCCCTGTTTCATGAAACAACGGAAAGGGAGAGTGGCTGAGGCCGTTTCGCTGGGGAACGGGGATGTGGTCTGGCTTCGCCCGGAGCAGCTGGACACAGCTCACGGCGCGGCTCTTTCCCAGGACCTCGTGGGTGGCCCTGCGGCAGCGTGGTGAGGGTCAGGGTGCAGCTCTGTCCGGCATCCCATGTATAGCCCATGTTCACCCCCAAGCCAGGCCCCCGTCCATCCCACGCCCCCTTCTCTGTCCCCCATCGGCGTGGCTGTCCGCGTCCGGGATGTGGTTCCTGACGCCTGGCCGTGAGGAGGCAGCTTCAGGCTCCCGCCCGGCTCCGTTGTCTGTTTGTTTCATGATCCTTTTTATTGTTTTCCGTGATTCCACCCGTTTTGCAGTCCTGGCCTCAGTAACACCCCGTGGCGGCTTCCTGCTCCAATTCCCCTCCTCCCGGCCTGCACCAGGGAGGGTGCACCCACTGCCCAGGCACCTCCCGCCTCCGGCCAGGACCCAGGCCCCCCCCCCGGGACTGGGTTTGTGTGACACAGGGGGCCCCTGAGGTGTGTGTGACACGGGGGCCCCTGAGGTGGTGTGACACAGGGGGCCCCTGAGGTGGTGTGACACAGGGGCCCCTGAGGTGGTGTGACACGGGGGCCCCTGAGGTTCGTGTGACACAGGGGGGCCCCTGAGGTTCGTGTGACACAGGGGGCCCCGAGGTTCGTGTGACACAGGGGCCCCGAGGTTCGTGTGACACAGGGGCCCCTGAGGTGTGTGTGACACAGGGGGGCCCCCGAGGTGTGTGTGACACAGGGGGCCCCGAGGTGTGTGTGACACAGGGGGCCCCGAGGTGTGTGTGACACAGGGGGCCCTGAGGTGATGTGACACAGGGGCCCCTGAGGTGGTGAGACACAGGGGGCCCCTGAGGTTCGTGTGACACAGGGGGCCCCTGAGGTGTGTGTGGCACAGAGGGGCCCCTGAGAGGACCCCACGTGCCCGGCACCCGCTCCCAGCACAGCCATCCTGAAGCCGCCAGCGCTGTCGCAACAACAGGGGCCGGGGGAGGTTCAGGAACTTCCGGAGGATTTCAACACCACGCTGCCAATCTGCCCTGATTTAGCCGCCTCCACCGCCACACCCACACCGACCCAGAGCTGGGGAGGGCGGAGGGCAGAGGGGCCGGAGCATCGGCAAAAGGGAAAACAGGAAACGGAGTTCTCAGCAGGAAGAGCCAGAAACTCCCCCCCCCCCCCCCGCCCAGACTGTCCTCTCCCCGCCCCCCTTCCACTCCCCCCGCCCGGACCGTCCTCTCCCTCCGCCCGGACCGTCCTCTCCCCCCACCCGGACCGTCCTCTCCCGTCCTCTCCCCCCACCCGGACCGTCCTCTCCCCCCGCCCGGACCGTCCTCTCCCCCGCCCGGACCGTCCTCTCCCCCCGCCCGGACCGTCCTCTCCCCCGCCCGGACCGTCCTCTCCCCCCGCCCGGACCGTCCACTCCCCCCGCCCGGACCGTCCTCTCCCGTCCTCTCCCCCCGCCCGGACCGTCCTCTCCCCCCGCCCGGACCGTCCTCTCCCGTCCTCTCCCCCCGCCCGGACCGTCCTCTCCCGTCCTCTCCCTCCGCCCGGACCGTCCTCTCCCGTCCTCTCCCTCCGCCCGGACCGTCCTCTCCCGTCCTCTCCCCCCGCCCGGACCGTCCTCTCCCCCGCCCGGACCGTCCTCTCCCGTCCTCTCCCTCCGCCCGGACCGTCCTCTCCCGTCCTCTCCCTCCGCCCGGACCGTCCTCTCCCGTCCTCTCCCTCCGCCCGGACCATCCTCTCCCCCCGCCCGGACCGTCCTCTCCCCCCCCCTCCCGTCCTCTCCCTCCGCTCTGGGCCCGGGTCTGCCCTGGGCCGGCCCCCCCGCCTGGGGAGGGAACAGCGGGGAGGGGGACTCTGAGCAGAGTTGGTCCAATTTCTCCGTCACTGGCCCAGGAAGGGGCCAGGCCACACGTGGTCCCTGCGTGGATCCCCGTGTGAATAGCCGCTGTCAAAGCCTCTGGGGGCCGCGGCGTGGCCCAGGGGCTGAGCGCTCCCCTAAAAACCCGGAGGTCACGGTTCGATTCCGGGCAGGGCACAGGCCCGATGGCGGGCTCCATCCCCGAGGGGGCGTGCAGGAGGCAGCCGACGCATGATTCTCTCATCACCGATGTTTCTGTCTCTCCTCTCCCTTCCTCCCTGAGACGATAAAACTGTGTTTTTTAAGATGTCTCTCGAGCAATGTGATATGGGGGTGGTTGTTTACTTCATTAGGGTTATGATGTGTGTGGTGTGTGGCTTGTGGTGTGTGATGTGTATGTGGCTGTGGCATGTGTGGTGTGTGACGTGTGTGGCATGTGCTGTGCGTGGCGTGTGTGGTGTGTTGTGTGTGTGGTATGTGGCATGTGATGTGTGTGGCATGTGATGTGTGTGGCATGTGACGTGTGTGGTATGTGGTGTGTGGTGTGTGGTGTGTGTGTTGTGTATATGGTGTGTGGTGTGTGTGTGGTATGTGGCATGTGGTATGGTATGTGTGCGTGGTGTGTGTGTGGCATGTGGCATGTGATGTGTGTGGCATGTGATGTGTGTGGTATGTGGTGGTGTGTGTTGTGTATATGGTGTGTGTGTGTGTGGTGTGTGTGTGGTGTGTGTGGTGTGTGCGTGTGTGGCATGTGGTGTGTGTGTGGGATGTGGTGTGTGTGTTGTGGCGTGTGTGGTGTGTGGCGTGTGGTGTTAGGGTTCCGGCAGAAGATGCCCCTTTCAGAGACGGTGCGTGAGCACTTGGCAGCATGGCACCTGGGGAGCCGGGAAGGGGTGGTGAGCGTGGCAGGTGCGGGCGGTGGGCCGATCCGGGCACCTTCTGAGGAGGCGGCTGGCCGGGGACCCTCCCCACCCCAAGGAGACGCCCTCCCCCTCAGGCACAGGCAGCGGACTCTGCTCCCGGCCGGCTCCCGCCTGCGGGCGGCTCCCCCTGGACACAGAGCCGCTGGGCTCCCCCTGGACACACAGCCGCCTGCTCCCCCTGGACACACAGCCGCCTGCTCCCCCTGGACACACAGAGCCACTGGGCTCCCCCTGGACACACAGCCGCCTGCTCCCCCTGGACACACAGAGCCACTGGGCTCCCCCTGGACACACAGAGCCACTGGGCTCCCCCTGGACACACAGCCGCCTGCTCCCCCTGGACACACAGCCACTGGGCTCCCCTTGGACACACAGAGCTGCCGGGCTCCCCTGGACACACAGCCGCTGGGCTCCCCCTGGACACACAGCCGCCTGCTCCCCCTGAACACACAGCCGCTGGGCTCCCCCTGGACACACAGCCACTGGGCTCCCCCTGGACACACAGCCGCTGGGCTCCCCCTGGACACACAGCCGCCTGCTCCCCCTGAACACACAGCCGCTGGGCTCCCCCTGGACACACAGAGCCGCCGGGCTCCTCCCAGACACACAGAGTCGCTGGGCTCCCCTGGACACACAGCCACTGGGCTCCCCTGGACACACAGCCGCCTGCTCCCCCTGGACACACAGAGTCGCTGGGCTCCCCTGGACACACAGCCACTGGGCTCCCCCTGGACACACAGAGTCGCTGGGCTCCCCTGGACACACAGCCGCCTGCTCCCCCTGGACACACAGCCGCCTGCTCCCCCTGGACACACAGCCACTGGGCTCCCCCTGGACACACAGCCGCCTGCTCCCCCTGGAAACACAGCCGCCTGCTCCCCCTGGACACACAGCCACTGGGCTCCCCCTGGACACACAGCCGCTGGGCTCCCCCTGGACACACAGAGCCGCCGGGCTCCTCCCGGACAAACAGAGTCGCTGGGCTCCCCCTGGACACACAGAGTCGCTGGGCTCCCCTGGACACACAGCCGCGGGGACTGTGGTGGCTGCTGCCCGGTCGTGACCTTCCCGGGGGAGGGCCCGCTGCTCTGGCAGCTGGAAGTGTCCAATCGTTTCAGAAATCGGTCAAGTCGGTCGAAGGGCATCCTGAAAAGCCAGTGCCACCCCCCTCCTCCGTTCGCCCATTAGGCAGTCCCCTTGGGCACTAGCATTTACTGTCCGGGAGGAGAGCCGGCCCCCCTCGGGCAGTTACCGTCCCCGCCGCTTCCTTCCTGCCGATAAGGCCCGGAGCTCGGTGTTCACAGGTCACCGAGCTGCCCTCTCCCGGCACCGGGCGGGCGCTGCGTGTCCATCGGTCCCTCTGCTCCTGCTCCCTGGAGCCTCGGCGGGGGCTGCGTGCCTGGCGGCTGCGCTCTCTCCAGCCAGCGCCGCCCGCCCCGGGCACCCCTCGCCCGTCACACCGCCGTCCCGGCTCGGCCCCGGGGCACAGGGGCGTGGGAGACCGGCCTGCGTGGGCCAGCGGCATTAAACTCTGACCCTCCATTGTGAGTCACCAGGCCCTCCTTCCCCAGATAGCGCGACCTCTGACCTCCCTGGGCGGCAGGAAGTCCGTTGTGGGAGTTGCTGCCGGGGGTCGGCTTGGCCGAGCCGAAGTGCTCAGGGGACGGGCGCTGGGTGCTGACCACCAGGTCGGGCGCTGAGTCACCTGCTCTCCCGAGGCTCCTGCCGTCCAGGCCGGAGGCCGCGCCGTCTGCTCGGCGCCTCCGGGGCCTCCGAGGCCCCGGCGGGCAGGTCCCGCCCGCGGGCACCTCCTCACAGCTCTCCTCCGAGAGGGACGGGGAGGCTGGGCGGAGGCTGCGGGTTCGACTCCCCGTCGGGCACTGCCCGGGTTGTGGCTTGGTCCCCAGCTGGGGCACAAGTGGAGGCAGGGGATCCATGTCCCTCTCCCCCCTCACTCCTCCCCGCTCCCTGTAAGCCAATGACGAAGTCGTATCCGTGGGTGGGAATTTAAAAACAAGCAGATGCCGTGACCCAGCAGAATGTGCTGCCAGCATGGAGCCGCCCAGCCCCTTCCCGGGACGGCCGCCTGGGCCTCCTCCGTCCTCTCTGACCCCAGGGCTTCCCTGGAAGCCGGACGCGGGCTCAGAGCCACACCCATGAGGGCAAGTCATCTCTTCAGAGGAACAGCGCTGGGAGCCCTGGCCGGTGTGGCTCAGTGCATAGAGCCCGGCCTGCGGACTGAAGGGTCCCGGTTCCATGCCGGTCAGGGCACAGGCCCGGGTTGCAGGCTCGATCCCCAGTGGGGGGTGTGCAGGAGGCGACCGATCCGTGGCGCTCTCATCACTGATGTTTCTCTCTCCCACTCCCTTCCTCTCTGACACCAATAAAAATGTATTTTAAAAAAGAACAACACGGGGGCTATACTTTCTTCTGTTTTTCAAAGAAACCAAGGCACTGATGTCTCTGTGGTCTTGTCCGTACAGTTCAAGGTCGGCAGAATGAGCAACAGAGGCCTCATCTCCGAGGGCGAGGTGCTGGGGTCCCGGGGGAGGGGGCTGCTGGGGGAGGAGGGCAGGGGGAGGGCGGGTCCTCCTGCGACTCGTCTGTCAGTGCCTGGAGGAGACCCCTCTGCAGTGAGAGCTCCTCAGCATGTAGTCACAGTCTGAGTCTGGCTCCCGCTCCCTCTGGCCT